AGTGGTGGCCGTTTGGTTTTATGTCTATACTGTCTCTTTAAATTTCGATGTCAATCTTGATACAATCCTGATATAATCAAGATACATATAAGATATAATCAAGATGTTCTCTCCTAATCCTATCAATCCTGGATAGGATACTGGATAGTGAACACTTCGTTTAGTTCTTTTGTGTTTTTCTTTCTGAGATACAGTGGGCTTGTTGTATCATTGTTTTAATAAGTTACTTTGAAATCAAGCAGATGGTAGTTTGTGAAAGTAATTGTTAAAGAAATGTGTCAAGCTTCACAGGTATAATCTATTGTGCACTGTAGAGAAAATCCTTTTCTGTGTTTAATGTTTAGGCATTGGACGTCTTTTATAACTACGTTTGAGTACCTCTGTAGAATAGTAGAATAGTGGTAGCCATCAGCTACCAATAATGAGTTGATTAGTCCAGATTTAAAATGATTTATCGTATCTTTGTGCCTAGCTAATCTTTCCCTCTTTTTTTTTTTCTCAGTTCAGTAATTTTGAAGTTGAAGTTTGCCACTAAAGATGGCAGATCCTGATGTCCTCACTGAGGTTCCTGCAGCATTGAAGAGGTTAGCCAAGTATGTGATCCGGGGGTTTTATGGCATTGAGCACGCCTTGGCCTTGGACATCTTGATTCGGAACCCCTGTGTGAAAGAGGAAGATATGCTGGAGCTGCTCAAGTTTGATCGGAAGCAACTTCGATCCGTTTTGAATAATTTAAAGGGAGATAAATTCATCAAATGCAGAATGAGGGTAGAGACTGCTGCAGATGGGAAAACCACTCGCCATAACTATTACTTTATCAATTATCGTACTCTCGTTAATGTGGTAAAATATAAGTTGGACCACATGAGAAGGAGGATTGAAACTGATGAGAGAGATTCTACCAACCGGGCTTCCTTCAAATGTCCTTGCTGTAGTAGTACTTTCACAGACTTAGAAGCTAATCAGCTTTTTGATCCCATGACAGGTGAGGCTTATTCAATTTATGAATCTTTCAAGTAACATTTATAAAAGGAACATGTATTTTTTTTCTTAATTTGACTCATCTATAATTTTTAACCCAATTGTGAACATCATTATATACAAGTGACTGGATCAATGTGAGTCAGCACATAGTCATTCATTGTTTTACTGCCTTGTTTCACTGTCGTGGTACTTTTAGAAACTTTTGACCAGCCTTTCTCCTTCCCAAGGGAGTGTACCCACCCATGGACTGTTGTCTCACTCGTAGCTGCGGCGTAATGTAAAGGTTGACACTATTCTTTTGATGCTCTTCTGACAACTTTACTTTTGACTTCTTTATTTAGCAAATATTGAGCATCTATTTGTGCATACTTAAGTGTGCATACTTCCACTACAAGTGGAAGTACAAAGTGCTGTTAGGCAGTACATTGCTAGGGAGTGTAATCTGGTCTCAAGGGTGTGGAAAGGCCACTGGAAAAAGTTGAGTATGAGCTGAGGTCTGAAAAATAAGAACTAGCCATGAAATAAATTAACAAGTAGTTAGATACTTAGTATCTCTTAGCAAGGTATCAAGGGTCCTTGGTAGCGAAGTGGAGAGGATGTCAAGATATTAAAAAAAAAAAAAAGTGAAAACCAAAAAAGAACAGAACTAGCAAACTGGGCTCTAATATCACCTAATTAGCACATTCTCTTCCAAAAGAAAAGTTCAAATGAGAAACCAAATTATAATTAAAAAGGGAAGGACATTCGCTGAACAAGTTTCCAATCATAAATTTAGACTTCACTGTCAACTAAGGTAAATATTAGTGTTGGCCAATTAGAACGTGTCATGAATTATTTCACAGGAAGAGCCATAGCTGATTTGTTACATAATTTACTGCCACTCATCAATTCGGCAGATTTATTTCACGTGGATGCTCAATGTTGTCATCAGCTGTGGACGGGCATTTTAATATAACCTCAGTGTGAATTATTTTTGACTCACCCTTGTATGTTGTTGTTGTTATGTGCCATGGCATAATATTTCTATTTTAGCAGCTTCAGCCATGTATTCTGTAGTTAACAGCACTTTTAAGTTAACGTACTTTCCAAAAGTTGGAGATGGGATGGAATCTTATAATTATTGTTTTTATTGGTGTTTAGGTTAGAAGATTTGGAGATAGCTTTATATTTTCCATTTTTAATGAAAAATTGTACAACTCTGTTATTGTCATTAAGTGCTGTCGAGTTGGTTCTGACTCATAGCGACCCTGTATAGGGTTTCCATGAAGCAACTGGTGAATTTAAACTGCCGACCTTGTGTTTCAAACTGACCTTGCAGTCCTACACTTTACCTACAGCGCCACATCATGACACCAGCTGTAATGCCCAAGAAAATTTTGAAGAGAGAAAAAAAAAAAAAAGCACCCCTAACCCAACAGCCTTTTGCATATTATCTTCTAATCTTGCATTGGTAGTGGTGGTGGTATGCTTGTATAGATATGATGCTTTGAATACCTTTGTATATATAGCATTTTATTCTGGCTTAAGTTTTTCCTTAAGAAGATTTCTTGGTAATGGGAATATGGAGCCAAAAGGTATATTCCATGGCTTCTTTAAAGGTATGTATGACATTGCTTTGTTGAGGGTAGGGTGACATTGTTATGTATTCAAATTAGAGTTTGAGAACCACTTGTACTGAATTTACCTAGTTGTTGTTTTTTGTTAAGTGCGTTAGAATGGGTTCCAACTCATAGCAATCCTGAATAGGGTTTCCAAGGAGCATCTGGTGGGTTTGAACCACCCACCTTGCTGTTTGCAGTTCAATGCTTATCCTACAGTGCCACACCAGGACTCACCTAGTGACCTAGATAAATAAAAGTTTGTTTACATTTTTTTTAAAAAAGGAAACTTGTGTTTGTATTTAATAAAATCTTAGAAATAGGCATTTAGAGGTTATCTATTCTAACTTGTCAAATGGTATGTGTGTACACCTGCATTTGCCTATATTGTACTGCTGGTTTGGAGCATCTTGAACAGCAATAAATAAATCTAGTGGTGTATAGGTTACTAGGATGCTTTCAGTTGAAGATTAGGGAATAAAGTAACAGCTCTCATGCAGTTCATCTTGTTTTGTATAATCCGTGGAAAATATTTAGAAACAGATAAATTTTAGGATTGGTGTTGTTAGATGCCGTTGAATCAGTTCTGACTCATAGCAACCCAGTTCTGACTCATAGCAACCCTGTGCACAACAGAATGAAACACTACCTGGTCCCTGTGCCATCCTCACAATTGTTAAGCTTGGGTCCATTGCTGTGGCTACTATATCAATCCATCTTGTTGGGTATCTTCATATTTTTTTTTGACCTACCACTTTACCAAGCATGATTTCCTTCTCAAGGGACTGGTCCCTCCTGATAACTTCCAAAATATACGTGATGAAAGTTCACCCTCCTGGCTTCTAAGGAGCACTGTGACTGTACTTCTTCCAACACTGACCTGTTTCTTCTTCTGGTAGTCTGTGATACCTTCAATATTCTTCTCCAGTACCACAACTCAAATGCATAAGTTCTATAGTCTTCCTTATTCATTGACCAATTTTTACATGTGTTGTTGTTGTTGTTAGTTGCCATCAAGTCGATTAATAGTGACCCTGTGCACAACAGAACAAATCACTGCCCGATCCTGGGCCACCCTCACAATTGTTGCCATGCTTGAGCCCATCGATGCTGCCACTTTGCCAATCCATCTGCTGGGAGTCTTCCTCTTTTTCTCTGACCCTCCACCTTACCAAACATGATAGCCTTCTCCAGTAAATGGTCCCTCTTGACAATATGTCCAAAGTATGAGAGACAAAGTTTGGCCATCTTGGCCTCTAAGAAGCACTCTGGCTGCACTTCTTCCAACAAAGATCTATTGGTTCTTTTGGCAGCCCATGGCACTTTCAGTATTCTCCTCCAACACCATAAATCAAAAGCATCAGTTAATTCTTCTATGGTCTTCCATATTCACTGTCTAGCTTTCACATGCGTATGAGGTTATTGAAAATACCATGGCTTGAGTCAGGTGCACCCATAAGAATATTAAAAATATCATGGCTTGAGTCAGGTGCACCTTAATCCTCAAACTGACATCTTCACTCTTGAACACTTTTAAAAGGTCTTGTGCTGCAGATTTGCCTAGTACAACATTTAATTTCTTGACTGCTACTTCCTTGAGTGTTGAGAGTGGATCCAAGAAAAATGAAGTCTTTGACAACTTCAATCTTTTCTCTGTTTATCATGATGTTATTTATTGGTCCAGTTATGAGGGTTTTGTTTTCTTTACACTGAGTTGCTGTCCATACTGAAGTATTTGATCTTTATCAGTAAGTATCTTAAGTCCTCTGTACTTTAAGCAAGCAAGGTTGTATTATCTGCATATCACAGGTTGTTAATGAGTCATGCTCCTATCTTGATGTCATGTTCTTCATATCATCCAGCCTTTTGGATTGTTTGTTCAGTATACAGATTGAATAAGTATGATGAAAGAATCCAGTCCTGACATACACATTTCCTGATTTTAAGCCATTCGGTATCCCTTTTTCTGTTTGAGCTACTCTTATTTTGTACAGGTTCCTTATAAGCATAGTTAAGTGTTCTGAAATATCCATTCTTTGCAGTGTTATCCATAGCTTGTCATGCTTCTCACAGTTGAAAGTCTTTGCATAGTCAATAAAGCACAAGTAAACATCTTTCTGGTATTTGCTTTCAGCCAAGATCCATCTGACATCAACAATGATATCCCTAATTCTATGTCCTCATTGGAATCCAGCTTTATATTCTGGCGGTTCTTTATCAATGTACTGTTGCAGACATTTTTTGAATTATCTTAAACAAAATTTTACTTGCATGTGATATATATGATATTGTCCAATGATATCCACATTTCGTTGGATCACCTTTCTTTAGAGTTGGTGCCGGGGACCAGCCTCGACAAATTATTAGGGGGCTCTCGAAGGGGGATGTGGAGACGGTGAAAAACACATACACACAGAGTCCTTGGGTCCTGAGTCTTAGGCAGATGATGATGACTTATCTTTACTCAAAAGATTTTTGCTTCTTATATACTATTATGATCAATTACAATTTAACTAAGTGTTACATTCTGTGTGTTCAACAAACATTCAGGTTAAAAAAAAAACACAGAAACATCAGAACATCCCTTTGATTCTTATTGTATTCTGTTCCTTTGCACTCCCTAATTATCCTGATAACATCGTGTTTATTTCTGTAACTCCTTTTGTTTTTCTTTAATCCTCCTAAGAATGTCAAATTAACTTTTAAGCAAAGTTCTATATCTTGACTTGCATTTTTACTCTCATCTATTACTTTTTATACTTATAATGGATTTAAGAATAAGAATATAAAAGTACCTAAAGTTTCATAGTAAAAAACAAAGCAGCAATTCCCCTATACTAACAATTTCCCAAAACCGCTTAGTTAAATTTCTACCAACCTTCCTACTGTTCGTAGAGCTCTTGATTGGCTCTTTGCTATCTTCCGGGTGCCTCAGTGTCTCTTGCTCTATGACTGAGCAGGATGTTGATTGTAAGATTGTTTTCTTTCAGGTGCCTCAGTGTCTATTAAGCAGGATGTAATCTTAAACTTGAAAAGCTTTTAGCTGATGTGGCTTTTCCTAATGGTGAGATTTATTGTTGATGTAAAAAGCAACTATTATAACTTTACATGATTAGATTTAGTGAGAGAGTGTCTAAATGTAATTTTAATTTTTACTATGATTATAACAAATTATCAAGTGGATATATAGAAAATTTTTAAAGAACTTCTTATAATAAGATCAAAATTGAGCCATGCACAAAAGGAAAAAACAAGAACTGCTAGACCTAGAGCATGAGGTTCCCCTCGGGGCTTTGCCATCCCAGGAGACACTCATTGTCACTTTGCTAAGCAATGAGCTTTTCATGCTTAGGGTCTCTCGCCATTCCGCTCCTTGATGGCATGACTTCTGCCAAATTGGCGT